AGTATGATGTGATCTCACAGCTACCTCCCGTCTCCATAGTGCACCATGTACAGGCTCTACGGAGCATCAAGCTACCGACTGGATCCTCCCATGTACGCACGCACCGCTGCATATGTCTGAGCACTTCGGCTGACTACACCGACGATGCAGTGGAAGAACGTGTTGCAACACTGAATAGCAGCCATAGCCTTTGCAAGCCGATGAAACGACAAGATGAGCTGCATAGTGGAACCGACGCTATTGAGCAGATGCACCTGAGCTTCCACCTCTCCGGTCAAGCAAAGGAGGTGACAATTCAGCTAAAGCACGCGTGGCACATCACCTGCCTCGAACATTAGCCTCCCGGGATCAAACGGCGACTCTGGTTGTCGCAGAACCAATTGGTTGCGCATGAAGAGGCATGGCATCTTTATTGCTTCAATGAGTAGCCAACGCCGGCTGGGATATGGGTCCAGTCAGTTACAGGGCGTTCCGGGAGAAGGGTTAACGAGCTGTCATGCAACAGTCAGACAGTGCATTAGGGGACCGGCTTCCCGGGGAATGCTAGCAGTAGGCATCCCGTTCTGACTAGCGAAGCAAACCCACACGCCTGCTTGCGCGTAGGAAGTCTTATGGCTTTTGTGTTGTAGTGTGGTAGTTCAAGCGCGGAAGACGAGCACGATCCGGGCTACTTCGCCAGATTAACGCGCCCAACCAAGGCCGTCAAAGCATTCAACAAGTGCAACCTCTGGGCGACACCAGAGTCTATACAAGTAGTTTGGTGCATTCGGCTCAGCCAGCTATAGTCTGTAACAGGACCTGTACGCACTGTCTACAAATTGTGTCCATCAAATCTGCTTTCACAGTAGTTCATGCACATGCCCAGAGTATATTTTCTGTGCGTTGTGCATCTGAAAGGGGGCTACTAGGTGTCTTCGACAAGCAACAAGCACTACACATACCGTAGGTCAAACTGCCATGCTGTCAACGCACTTTCTGCAATGTATCACTATCGACTATGGGCTAAGCCTGTTCGTTCGCCACTAGTTAATAGCTAAAGCGGCCCTGATGGCTTTTGCATTGTTTTTTCTTGCTGCAAACACCCCTCTCACTGTACGCCGACGCAGGACTGCAGATCTAGTATTACGTAGAAGCCATCAAAACCTATGAGAGTCTCACTGTCATGAATGCGAATACCAACAGAGCATGCAGACAGCAGCACGGATTGCCCAATCATCAGTGTGGTTGCAACGAACAAAGAAGCCACAAGCCCAGGCTACCGAGCTGCGGCTGCTTTGCAGCAAAGTCTCGCACGCGTCTGTGCTCTCCACGCTGCGTCCAGATAGCCCACTTTGCGCTCTCGCTGGATCGCGTCTCCATCGAAAAACCGCCAGCAGTCCATCGGGCACCGAAATGGGTGCCGGCGCATCAGCAACCATGGGCGAAACAGCAACAGGTTGTTCCCATCAGAAAAAGCATCAACTACAACGCACAAGAAATCTCATGACCGTCTTCTCTACTACCGTTGCTGCTGCTGGTTTGCGCAGCAGAGCTATTGTCTGCGGTTATTGTAGAAAAGCGCTCAACTGGAGCCCAAGCTAGACGGACAGCGCAAAAACGCATACAGTTCCTGAACAGCCGTAGTTCTGGTAGTTGGTTGAAGCGCAATGGATCGGCCCCATGCCCCTTGTGCTGCATAGACCCACGTGCCAGTGTTGCCGTGCTGCTGCAAACACGTGCGGGGGCTCCACCGCTTCACCCGACCCCAGCATAAGCCGCAAAGCCCGGGCGTACAGGCACCACACGCCACACGCCATCAAAGCCTGAAAACATTCAAGACCTGGCGCTTGCGCGGTGTCTAACATCAATACAGAAACGAGGAACATCGGCAAGGTTCAATGCACCCAGCACTAAGTGCGTTCCTGTGCCGAATTCG